GTGTCAAACCCTTCATGTTGGTGTATCTGATTAGATGCTGAAGATATGAAGTAAGGTCTGTAATGTTGATAATCACTGTAAGAACAGAATATCTAGCTCACCATGTCTGGTGTCAAACCCTTCATGTTGGTGTATCTGATTAGATGCTGAAGATATGAAGTAAGGTCTGTAATGTTGATAATCACTGTAAGAACAGAATATCTAGCTCACCATGTCTGGTGTCAAACACTTCATGTTGGTGTATCTGATTAGATGCTGAAGATATGAAGTAAGGTCTGTAATGTTGATAATCACTGTAAGAACAGAATATCTAGCTCACCATGTCTGGTGTCAAACACTTCACATTCGTTTACCTGATCATGTGCCAGAGATAGGAAGTAAGGAATGTAATGTTAGTGTTCACTGTAAGAACAGAATATATCTAGCTCACCATGTCTGGCATTAAACACTTTATGTTGTTTTACCCAGAGATGGGGATTAACGAAGTAGTTTTACTTTTCTGGGATTTACTGTTACATAAGTATGCTAAAAAATACTTTACTTTTACTTAAGTAAAATCAAGAAGAAATTATCTACTTTTACTCCATTGCATTTCTTTATAACACTGTCGTTACATTTGAAAAAACTGGAGAAAATCATACTGCTTGCTATGGTGATAGTTTTTGTTTACATCAATCAGAGCACACCTACTCTTCCAAGTAAGACAATCACAAGCAGTGGTATTTCCACTGCTGCTGAGCAGGAACAAATTGCAGCCATTTTACAACTTGTGTTGACTGTGATAACTTCATCCCACTGTGACCATCATGTCTGACACAAATAGTCATCCATGACCTTATTCGAAAGACTTATTTTCACCAAAAACAACAGTGGGAGATTCAGCAAAGTTGCAACATGTGAGCATTTGTTTAGTTCCGGAAGGCTCTTGTTCATACCAAGACAAGCTAATCTGTCTAGTAGGAACTTTGAAAACCAGCAGCTGCTCAAGCTAAATAATAAGTAGAGAGTGTGAAGAGCTGTACCATAGACAGTAACACTGATTGTTTTAATAAAAATAAAATAAAGTTTGTTGAGTTTATATTTGTTAGTACCTTTTATGCATGAACTTAAGTTGAATGTAGGCTATTTTTAATAGTGCTATCATTACTTATTTTTTGTCAATACTTTTCACTTTATTGCTACCTAAATACTGTATATATTTGGTACTTTTTACTTTTACTTAAGTTGCCATCGACAACAGGTACTTTTAGTTTTTACTTGAGTGAATATTTTCAGTACTTTACCTATCACTGGGTTTGCTTGATCAGATCTGATGATAAGAAGTCTGAACAGAATATCAAGTTCACTGTGACTGGCATTAAACACTTCACATTGGTTTACCTGATCAGATACCAGGAACAGGAAATAAAGTCTGTAATGTTAGTGTTCACTGTAAGAACAGAATATCTAGCTCACCATGTTTGGTGTCAAACAATTCACGTTGGTTTACCTGATCAGATACCAGAGACAGGAAATAAGTTCAGGGATGGTGGTATTTACAGACACTTAAAGTAGAAGAATTATCACACAACATGTATCATTTACATTGCTACATTCAGCTGAACCTAGTTTAATTTAATATTATAATTATATGTTATTGATGCATACAGATGTTTAGAGATTTTTTTGTTATATAAAACAAATATTTTGAAGTATTTATTTATCCTTTAATTATTTTATACTGTAATTTACACTACAGAAACTGTCTGTCTGTCTATCCACATTATAACAGTAATTTAGTGTCTTAAGGTATAAAATAATTCACTGAACAATTCTCTAATTAATATCTAACGTACTTTAAAAGGTTCCTGAATGCACAGCCTAAAATTATGTCAGCATTTCAGCTCATACTGCAAGTTTTAATGCCATCTTAAGTTTTCTTGATGTTAAAAGGTCATTTTGTAAAGGTTAAGCTAGTACTGGATAGTCTCATCTTTAAATGTATATACCAAAGCATGACCAAGTAATGTTAATTTCCAATTGATGGGATTAGTTTGTACCACACTGAAGTGGTTTTTGTAAGAAACTGGTAAAACCCTAAAAAGGAGTTAATAAACATTTTAATGTTTCCATACTTTAGTTCTTTACAGAAGTTAAGTTTAGGGAAATGCACTCTTCTCAAAAACAAAAAATATTTCTTCAAACAAAATTTTACTGTTGTAAAACTTTGGTTTGTTTGGAATTTTGCACAAAGCTACACGAGGGCTATCTGTGCTAGCCGTCCCTAATTTAGCAGTAAAATACTTTCAACTCTTGGGCTACTCTTTTACCAATGAATAGTGCCATTGACTATCACATTATAATGTCCCCACAGCATGTTTGGTGGGGCAGGGAATCAAATCCCATACCATCAGATAGCGAGTCATGCGCCCTAACCACCTGGCCATGTCAGGCCTTGTGAAGCTTTATAGTCTAGCCAAAATTTTGTGATATTCATGAGCTGGTTTTTGCTTTATTCTCTTAAATTAAGTAATTAAATTTTTGACGAATTCAATCGAAATTTTAAGATGACTGACTAAATAAACAATTGGCTGGCTAGTCACAGCTTAGCTGTTTAGCTTATACCTTCTTAATTGAAATTACTTTCTATATTCTATTTTTGTGTAACTTGAGAAAGCTTTCTACAATATAAACTGTATAACAATATAACACTAACTTAGAGACCTATGAAGATGGTAGTGACATGGTCCTTTCATGATAAGTTAATATACTGATCCAAGTGAAAGAGAGAGATCTAAAATATAACAGTAGGTTTCAAACTCACATTTAGCATGCTTTGGGTTCACACACTGATTATTCACACCAATGCAACTGGTCTGATCCAAGTGAAAGAGAGATCTAAATTATAACAGTAGGTTTCAAACTCACATTTAGCATGTTTTGGGTTCACACACTGATTATTCACACCAATGCAACTGGTAGAGATAGAGATAATTATAATCAATCCTGCAGACTAAGTTGTAAATTAATTCACACTGAAATGTAGCTAACACTGAACTGGTACAAAAAAAGGTTAACACATTATTACAAGCATAGTATCCTATCTTGTTCTCCCATTCAAGTACTGCCCACATTTGTCTATATTCAATGTTTGTATACAAAGAAGGTACTATATAATCAATGATGTCAATATGAATGTAATTCATGTGATTACTTGTTGATCCTTAAACATCATATGCTAATCCAGATGTAAATATATGGTTATTAAAAATAAACATAATCAGTTGTTAACTGCATTTTCATGGTCTTCTATGTACTTGTTTACTATGACATCTAAAAACAAGAATGTGGATATGCACATTCAACACAAAACTCAACAGAGAAAGGGTATACATATAGTGCAGGGATGCAGGATCTTTTCAGAAATGTTTTTTTTATAATACAGTACTAGAATTTACTTTCATTTTCATTTAGAAAGCAATTAGGCAACACCCAACAGAAGATTAAGGAATGAATTCAAGCATCATCTGCTAAAGACGTTACATAATTCATTTTAAAATCATTTAGTCATGTAAGAAGATAGGGAAAATTTCACCTTTCAAAGAACACTAACATGAAAAAGGCAAAATACAGTGTTATATTTACATGTTAAATACACATTTGAAATATGATTATATTTTCTGTGGAAGTAAATTTTTATAGCTAGTCTTAGA